ATCCGTCAGGGTTGTGTGCTTTCACTATGCTTATTCGATCTGTATGTTGAGGAAATAATCTGAGAAGCTGGGCTGTATGAAGAAGAACATGGCATCAGGATTGGAGAAACATTCATTAAAAATCCAAGATATGCAGATGACACAACCTTGCTTGCCGAAAGTAAAGCACTTACTGATGATGAAGATCAAAGATTACAATCTTCAGTATGGATTACACTTAAGCAAAAAGAAAACAAAAATTGTCACAATTGGACCAATAAGTAATATCAGTATAAGTGGAGAAAAGTTTGAAGGTGTCAGGGATTTCATTTTATTTGGATCCAGCAATCAATACATATGGGAACAGCAGTCAGTAAGTCAGAGGACATATTGCACTGGGCAGATCTGCTAAGAAGCAAAGATATCTTTTATAGACTAAGGTGCTCCTAACCCAAGCCAAGGTACTTTCATTTGCCTCATATGCATATGAAAGCTGAACAGTGAATAAGGAAGATCAAAGAAGAATTGATACATTTGAATTGTGGTGTTGGAGGAAGAATACTAAAAATACCATGGACTGCCAGAATAATGAACAAATCTGTCTTGCAGAAGTACACCCGGAACATTTCTTAGAATGGCCAGACTTCCTCTCACCTACTTTGGTCATGTCAGAAGGGATCTTAAGCTTGGTAAAGTAGTGTGTCGGTGAAAAAGGGAAAGACCCTCAACAAGATGGATTGACACAGTGGCTGTGATGATGGGCTGAAGCATGTAGTATTTGTGAGGATAGTGCAGGCTTGGGCAGCATTCTGTTCTGTGGTACATAGGGTTGCTACGAGTCAGAACTGATTCAAGGACACCTAATAACAACAGTACGTGAGGGCTGGAGCCTTGGTGGTCCAGTGCTTAAAATGCTTGACTGCTAACCAGAAGTTCATCAGTTGGAACCCATCAGCTGCTGCTTGGGAGAAAGATGAGGCAGTCTTCTTCTGTAAAGATTTACAGCCTTGGAAACCCTGTGGAGCGGTTCTACTCTGTCTAAGACGGTTGCTTTGATTCAGAATCCCCTTGACAACAGTGGATTTTGGTTTTGGTCTGAGCACATGAATCACCTCGATGGCAACTCATAAGATGGTTCCAAATGTAGTAAAGGTTCAGCTGTGCTAAGAAGCCAGTGGGATCATTCAGTTATAATGCAGAAGATAAAGATTTCTTTTCATTACTGTATGTGTTTCCATGTACTGTTGTTATGTGCCGTCGAGTCGGACCCGACTCATAGCGACCCCTCCTTGGGTTTCCGAGGCAGTATCACTATGGAAGTAGATTGCCCCATCTTCCTTCTGAGGAGTGGCTGGTGGGAATGGAAGCCCCATGTAAATCAGACCTACTTGGGGTCATTATTTCTTCAGAGGAGATGTTTTCCTGACACTGTAATTTATTGCTTAAATCCACATATTAGGAGGTTATTGGCTTATGTTTTCACTTGTCATTCTTCAGATAGTTTTTTAAGGTGGTGATATCTGACTTACCTACGGTGGTAGTTAAGTTGTGTGTCAACTTGGCTGGGCCTGGTTTTGAGTGGCTGGGTAGCTGAATGCAGTTTTGCCCCGTGATGAGATTGGTAATCTATTCCATGGTGGGATCTACTGGAGCAGCTGAATAGCTGCTTTAGGGATGTGGTCTGCTTCCAGAGTATAAGAAGACAGCTTTGAGAAAGGTCTCTGAGCTTTTTGGCATGCTTGGACCTTGCATGTAGCCTAGTCTTCATTCAGCAGTCTGCCATGTTTTCTGCAGATCTTGGGACTATTAATGGACTTGAATTAGTGTTGCTCAATAATTTTGGGACGTGCCATTTTACTTGTTGACCTTGGGTCAGTGGCAGTGAAGGAGAAGGTCAAAGATAATAGTTGTCAGCCTCAGAAGTCAGCAGCTGCCTGAGTTAAGAAATGCCTCTAGCTTCAGTGGGCTGAGAGCAAGAGGCAGAGCTGAAGCCCAAGGTCGAGGGGCTCTGACCCAGCCCCTAGAGCTGGCATTTTGAACTCAGGCTTCTAGCCTCAACTGTAAGAGAATAAATCTCTGTTCAGACCATCCACTTGAGCTATTTCTGAGTTCCTTATAGCAGCACTAGAGAACCAAAATAGAATTTGGTACTGAGATAGTAGGGTGCTGCTCTAACAGATACCTAAAGTGTGGGAACAGGAGTGGAGAGTATGTCCTTGATTTGAGTTCCCTGCACTGAGATCGCAGCAGAGAAGCTGGCAGAGAGATGGCAGTTTGAAGCCACCAACTGTTCTGTGGGAGAAAGATGAGGCAGTCTGCTTCAGTAGAGATTTACAACCTTAGAAATGCTGTGGGCCAGTTCTAGTCTGTCTTACATGGTCGTTATGCATGGGAATTGACTTAATGGTAGTGGTTAGGTGCAGAGAGAAGGAAAATTGAGTGAGCAAAACTGCAAGAGGATTTTGAGGAGTGGGTGAATTTGAAGGAGCTTTAGTGGTATCATAGTGCCTAAGGCACTGGACTGCTAACCAGAGGGCTGGTGGTTCAAACCCACCAGCAACTCCTCGGAAGGAAGATGGGGCAATCTACTTCCGTAGTGATACTGTCTTGGCAACCCAAGGAGGGGTCGCTATGAGTCGAGTCTGACTTGATGGCACATAACAACAACAACAACAACAACAACAACAACAACATTAGTGGTATAGTACCTAAGGCTTTTGACTGAAGGTTAGTGGTTCAACCCTACTAGCCACTCTGCTGAAGGAAGACAGGGCAATCTGTTTCCATAAAGATTTACTGCCTCAGAAACCTGTTGGAGAAACCCATGAGTTGGAATTGACTCAATGGCAGTGGGCTTGTGGTGAATTGATGAGCTCTCAACAGAAGATTTCTTTTTACAAGATTAGGTGAAATCACCTGCTAAGAGTGAAGAGGATGAGAATTTGGAGCTAAAAGAATGCAGAGGGTTGAGGCAACAAATGTGGGCAGTATTGTGGGAAGTCAAGAAAAAATGAATTAAAGAAGTTCAACATTATGAATTTTCAGTGACTCCAATCAGCATGGTTTTTAATTTTTCAGTAGTTCTTGGAAACCAGAAAGTAGGACTAGAAAGGCAGTAGAGACCTTACATGGCCAGGAATTAGGAGCAGACAAGGAGCGTGGGAAGAGTTGAGGAGTTGATGTTACCCCGTCATTATTTCATAGATGATGCACAGGTGAATAAAACCCTATTTTCAGACTATGAAGGAGCTCTGATGTCACAGTGGTTAAAGCATTGGACTGCTAACCAAACAGATGGTTGGCAGTTTTAACCCCCTAGCTGCTCTGTGGGAGAAAGATGAGACAGTCTGCTTCCATAAAGGTTTATAGCTTTGGAAACCCTGTGGGGCAGTTATATTCTGTCTGTAGGTTGCTGTGAGTTGGAATCCATTCAATGGCAGTGGGTTTTTTTTTTTTTTTTTTTGATATTGCAGGCTGTGATTTCTTCTGGTAACAAGTGAAGGAGAAGGTCAAAGCTAATAGCTTCAATGGCAGTTTGGAGTTATCAGTGGTTTTCAGTTACTTCTGTTAAATCTCTCTATTAAGGGAGTATCTGCACAGACTAACAAGGGAAGAGAGTCCTGAGGATTTGCAGCAGCCTGGCCTTGCCTTGGGTCACTTGGCTCATTTCTGCCCGTTTTCTTCATCTCTTCAATAGGAATGACTACTGCCAACTTTAACTTTGGTTGGTGCTTACCTAGTGATTTTGTGCTGTGTACAGTCTTTCATTGTGTTGGGCGTTATTGTGATTTAATGAGAACTTTTTTTTTTTTTTTAACATTTTTCTAATTTTGCCATTATGAGTGCATCTTTTATGTGCTGTTTTGCTCTCTACTGTGAATTATCATAAATCACTCCAAATTCCCTCTCCATACATCTTTTTTTTTTTTCCACAGAAACTGTTTTTAATGACAAAAACTGGCAATAACATAAATGTTGATGAGTAGAGCGCTGATTAAATCTGTGGAGCACTAGGTGGAATTAACAGATCAAAATGAATCTATATGATGATATGGAAAAATGTCCTAGTAATATTAATACATTAAAAAGGTGGTTGTAAAATACATATATTGTTGGATACTATTTAGTTTCATTTCAACATATACACACATTTATATGCCCATATTTACACACATGTAAAACATTTCTGGAAGAATATAAACCCACTTTTCTACAAACATTATGTTAGTAAATTATATCAGGAGTGGCTTATTAAAATTTTTGTGAAGTCTAGTAGATTACTTGATTCCACGTGAAGTTTGTTTCAAATTAAGTCATGTGCAGCCTCTAAAATAGCAAACATGTGTATGTTAAATAGAAGAATGGCAGTGTGCCATATCATAAATTTCTATAGTCACATTTGGTCTTCTGAGAGTTTTTTCTTTTTTTAACTGTGATTTGGGTAAAAATTTATAGAGCAAATTCACTTTCCATGCAGTAGTTCACATACACTTTGTCTCATGACATTGACCACAGTTTACCACAATGCAACAGCTCCCCTCCAACTTCCTTCCCATAGTTACCTCTTCCCAGTGTCCATCCTTCCATGCACTCCTGCCCCCTGAGCTGTCTCCCTGCGCATGAGCAGCCCTTCTTTCTCCCATGATTGTTCTCTCCAAGGAGTGTATCTATCTGAGGTAAATGTTCAACTCATATGCCTGTCTTTTGTTTGGCTGGAAACCATAGGTGTGGGTTCAATTCCAGACCTGAAGGGCAGCTAGGGGCCATAGTCTCAGTGGTTCCACCAGGCTCTATGGGACCAGCAAACCTGGTCCCCACCTTTTTTTCCTCCAAATGATTTTGAGTTTTGTTCCACATTGTTCTCCCTCTCTATCAAGGATCTCCTACATAGATCCCTTTCCAAGTGGATGACAGTGGTAGCCAGGCACCATCTAGTTCTTCTGGTCTCATAGTTGTATACATAACATTGTTTTTACCATTCGTTTTTTAAAAGTACAAATTTCCCTTTGTTTAAAGCAGGTATGAAACAGACCCTGCAGGATGAGATTGAAGCCATACTGCGGGAGAGGATTATGGTGCTGGATGGAGGGATGGGGACCATGATACAACGGTACAAGCTAAATGAAGAATGCTTTCGTGGTCAAGAATTTAAAGATCACCCCAGATCCCTGAAAGGCAACAATGACATTTTAAGTATAACTCAACCTGATGTCATTTACCAAATCCATAAGGTAAAATATTCACAGGTTATTGGCTATTAAGTCTTGCAGCAAGCTGTTTTGTATACCAAGGGCAGACCACTGTGCCTGGTGCTCTGGAGGCTATAGAAGAAAGAAGTGATTTATTCAGAAAACAGGTATTGGAAACCAAATGAAAGTCATGCACTATGTTGGGGACTTGGGGTAAGAAAATGAGAAAGGTAAGTTTTTTGCCTTTAGATGTTTACATTCCTCTGAGGCCAGAAATGTGATGAAGTCCTGGACCCTCTAGAGTTTCACATGTATGATCTTATTTAAGTCATTAAAACAGCCATAATGAAGAAAAATAAGAAGATGGTTGTTGTTACTCTCATTTTGGAAATATGGAAACTGAGGATTACAGAAGTGAATTAACTTGTCTGATGTTGTGGAAGTTTACTAACATGAAATCCCGTGTTCTTTCAGTCTGTTTTTCTGTCTTTAATAAAATGGCTAGCCAACATGAAGTGAACAGAAAACCAAACTAAAACTCACAGCTCTTGATTTGATCCCAACTCATAGGGATCGCTCCTTGGGTTTCTGAGGCGGTATCCCTATATAAGTAGATTACCCAGTCTTTCTTCCAAGGAGTAGTTGGTGGGTTTGAACCACCAATCTTCTGGTTAGCAGTCATATGCCTTAGGCACTACACCACCAGAGCTCCCTGACTTGGTATTGTTAAATTTGTAAACGAATAAACATAGATCTAAATAGTTTTTTAGATTATGAAAAGAATTCATAGAATTAGAATATTAGAGGAAATAAAGAAGTGATTTAATCTTTTTTTCTGATCTGGACCTAATTATTAGAAGGAGAAAGTTTATTTACTAGTTAAATATAAAATTTTTAGTTTCTGGAGAAGCGTGTTCCATACTCTTAAGGAAAAAAAAAAATCACCTAAACAAATCACTTAGTGATAAGTGAATCATTGTGGCTAGAAGGGATTATTTTTACTGGGTGGTCAAGTCTTTGTTCTAGATAAGATGCACAGTGGAGCTCAGTTGAAGGAAATCTAGGAATGACTTTGTGTTGCACAGTTCTCTGGGTTTTGACAAATCCATGCCATGTATCTAGTATTACCTAGCAGAATTATACAAAACACTTCCAGTGTCTAAAAATGCACTGTGCTCCATCTAATTATGACTGTCCTCCTCCTCAATCCTTAGCAACCACTGACCCATTACACTGTCTCTAGTTTTCCCTTCTCCAAAAAGTCATAGTTGAGTCATACTGTTTATAGCCTTTTCAGACAGGCTTCTTTCACTTAGAAGTATACGTTGAAGATTCCTCCATGTCTTTTTGTGGCTTTATAGCTTACTAATTTTTAAAAAATATTTTATTGAGTTTTTGATGAAAGTTTACATACCAAATTAGGTTCCCATTGAACAATTTCTGTGCATACTGTTCAGTGACATTCGTTATGTTTTCCACATGTATCAATATTCTTATTATTTCCAGTCTGATTGTTTTGTTTCTATACATCCAGCTTCTCTGGCATCTCCAACCCCACCTCCTATCTTTGTTTTAGGGTAAATGTTGAGTGATTGGTCTCTTGTAGATGATTTTCTTTTTTCCTTCAAAAGAAGCACAGTACTCATGGTGACACTGTTTATTTTTGAACCACTTTCTTATTTAGGTGACCTCCAAGAATAGTTTCTTCAATTTACAATAGGTCTGCCCAGTTTTTTTTTTTTCCAATAATTAGTTTTGTTCTGCAATTTTTTCTCATTCTATCTCAGACCATCTGTTGTATCCCTAGTCAGAATGGTTGGTAGTGGTAGCTGGGCATCATCTAGTTCGTCCATGAGGCTGTAGTTTATTTATGTAATTAGTCCTATAGACTAGCTGCTTCTTTGAGTCTGTGGTTTCCTTTTTTCTTTTTTGGTGCAGATGAATAGAGACCAATAGTTTTATCTTAGATGGCCACTCATGAGCTCTTAAGACTCCAGATGCTACTTACCAAACTAGAATGTAGAACATAAACTATACAGACTGTGTTGTGCCAATTGACTGACATGTCCTATGAGACTATGATCCTGAGCCTTCAAACCCAATAAACCAATCCTATAAGCTGTTTAATAATATCTGGGAGGTATCCTTGACCGTGCCTCCCATATGCTTTATTATATATGAATATATGTGTAGCACACAGAAGCATGTATATGCCTATGCCTTTAGATAGTCTATATATATATGTTTTTGATGATTATTACTGTTATTGCCAAATTGTATGTATTATAGCATTTATCAATAATGTCCCTTAATCATGTGTATTTCTTATTGTCATCATTTACCTTGGTTAAGCTGTGCACACTTCACCAACATTTGATAACTGACTTTTTCATGATCAAAAATAAGTGTCTGTTGTCTAGAGAGTGATTCCCCTTCCCTCTCCTTGCTGTCCCTTTTGTTGTTGCTGTTAGGTGCTGTTTGAATTGGTTCTGACTCATAGCAACTTCATGTACAACAGAATGAAACATTGCCCAGTCCTGAACTTGTTGTTGCTTGAACTTGAGCCCACTGCTGCAGCCAGTGTGTCTATCCATCTTGTGGAGGGTCTTCCTCTTTTTCACTGTCCCTCTAGTTTACCAAGCTTGATGTCTTTTTCCAGGGACTGATCCCTCCTGATCACACGTCCAAAGTATTTTAGACAAAATCTCACCATCCTTGCTTCTAAGGAACATTCCAGTGGTCTTAAAAGATAGATGCATATGTTCTTCTGACAGTGCTTGGCGTATTCAATATGGTCTGTAGTTTTGTTTTCTTGTAATGTCTTTGATTTTGATAAAGTAATGCTGGCCTCATAGAATGAGTATAGGAAGTATTTCCTCTACTTCTATTTTCTTGAAGAGATTATACAGAATTGATACTATTTCTTCCTTAAATATTTAGTAGAATTCACCAGCGAAGCCATCTGGGCCTGGTGCTTTCTGTTTTGGAAGATTCTTAATTATTAAGCAGACACATAGTCCTATTTCTTTCTCTCTCGCTGCCATCAAGTAGATTCGACTCATGGTGACCCCTCCTTGGGTTTCCAAGGCAGGATCTTTATGGAAGTAGATTGCCCAGTCTTCCTTCTGAGAAGTGGCTGATGGGTTTGAACCACCAGCCTTCTGGATAGCAGTCAAATGCCTTAGGCACTACACCACCAGAGTTTATCTATTTCTCTTTGTGTGAATTTTAGTAGATTTTATCTTTCAAGGAATTGGCTAATTTCCTCTGGGTTATCAAATAAATAAGTTACCAAGTTGTTCATAAAGTTCTTTTATTTTTAATGACCATGGTGAGGCCCTCTTGTTTCTGATATTTAATTTGTCTTCTCTCTTATTATCTTGGCTATTCTGGGTAGAAGTTTATCAATTTTATTTGTCTTTTCAAAGAACTAGTTTTTGGTTTCATTGGTTTTTCTCTATTGATTTCCTCTTTCAGTGTCATTTGTATTTATTCTAGCTTTCACTATTTTTTCTGATTTAATTTTCTCTTTTTGAGTTTTCTAAGGTGAAAGTCTAGATTATGGATTTTTAATTTTTAGTTTTCATTGTAATTTGGCTGAAAGTTTACAGAGCAAATTCATTTTCCATTCCATTCGGTAGTTCCTACACGTTTTGTTTCAAGACATTGACTGCAATTCCCCACTCTTCTATAATAGCTGTCTTCCCACTTCCTCCACGTAGTTACCTCTTCCCTGTGTCCTTCCTTCTTATGCATTACTGTTACCTAAGCTATCTCCCTGTGCAAACACTGCCCTCCTATTCTCCCATGTTGCTCCTAGGAGTATGTCTGCCTGATGTAAATATTCACCCTATATGCCTTTCTGTTTGGCTGGAAGCTGCAGGAGTGAGTTTAGTTCCAGACCTGAAGGGTAACTGGGGCCATAGTCTCAGGGGTCTCACCAGGCTCTATCAGACAAGTAAACCTGGTACTTTTTTTTTTTTATGATTTTGAGTTTTGTTCTACATTGTTCTCCCACCCACTCTATCCAGGATCTCCTGCACTGATCCCTTTCCAGGTGGTTGACAGTGGTAGCCGGGCACCATCTAGTTCTGGTCTCATGGTCATATAGGCTGAGGATCACAAGGTTTGCTAATCCTTTCGACTAATTGATTCCATGCATCTTTGTTTTTCTTCATTCTTCTTTGCTCTGGTTGAGGAGAGACCCATTGTTACATCTAGGTGGCTGTTTGCAAGCTTTTAAATCCCAGTCACTACTCACCAAAGTAAGATGTAGAGCAATGTTTTTGTGTAGTATGTTATGCCACTTGAGCATGATGACCCCTGTGGCTATGGTCCTGAACCCACAGGACCAAGTATTCGCTCCCTCATGGTGATTGGCTGAGGCCAAGAAGTTATCATAACTTTGCTCCTTGTTAGCTCTGTTATGTATTTGAACATTCTTTTTTTTTTTTTAATTTTATTTTGATTTGGGTGAAGATATACAGCGTAAATTCACTTTTCATACAGCAGTTCACATAATATACTTTGTCTCATGCTATTGACCAAAATTTACAATGCAACAGCTCCCCTCCCACTTCC